GAAGACTTTGAGAAAGTCTCTTTGCACAATGTCCCAGTGTGATCTAAAACCTTACTGAATGAAAAATATTTTGCTAAAGCACTGTGTATCAACTATTTCTTTCATGAAATACGATTTTCAACTTTCTTCGTCCTCTGTTCATCTGTGTGCTGCTGATTTCCTCAAGTCATGTCCTGTCTCTATGCACTTGCTCCAGTGGCAGCAGCTCACCATTGTTCTGACCCCGGATATAGTGGTAACGATGTACCATGCCGGAGCAATGTGTGTCAGTATGGCCGCTTGCAGTCTTAATCGGGGCACAAGTGCCAACGCACAAAAGCCACCTCATAACAGAAGGTGCCTGAACACGATTCTTCATGGTACCATATATTATTTAATGCTTTTCAAGTTTCATTAAAAATAATGTTTGGAATGGCATTAACATGTTCACGCTTATATGAGATTCTAGTGATTGGGTTTATAACTACTCTGACATTGAAAATGACAATGCAAACTGTTTGCGCAACAAGCTGGCATGTCTGACCGGCTTTACAAAACCTTATTAAATGCTAAAGTGAGTGCTTGCCTCAGAAACCATTTGGTATCAATTGGACCCCTGCCACTGGACATTGTTCTCAAGCTGAAAGCACTTCTGCTTCTGGCCGACAATGCCAAATACCTTATGACTGCTTGTTAAGTCTAGAGGTATAGGTTGATACTTACCTTATTCCTCAGTCTGGCAGGCTTCCATAACGTTGTGTGACTGGTACCCTGAAAATCGGTTCTCGGCACTCTGATGTCACCAAGTACAATGCAGGACCAAAGGGGATATGAGAGTATGACGAGGGCCTGTCCACGACCCCGAGCATCTCAGAAAAGCAGACAGCACTGGAAGCGAGGAAGGCAAGTATGACCGCATATTCCTCTACCCCTAGACTTAAAGGGACTCTAAAGGCTGAAAGTTTTTTACCTAAATACATTTTATGCATGAAGATAAAAAACATTCAGTGTGATGGAGTCCCTCAGAACCACAAATACTTACCTGAGCCCGATCTCAATGCAGCAAGGAGCACGGAAATGCTAGCGCTCTCCCTCCTCACTGGCTGAGACACAGCAGCGGGAGCCATTAGCAAACAGCTCTTAAGAGGGGGGGGGGGGGGGGGTGAGGCCGAGCTATGCTCTGTGTTTTAGAAAGTGGGGCTCGGGAGCGAGCACGCACCAGTGCAAAAGGAGCCAGAAACACCGGCAGGGGAGACCAAGAAGAAGAGGGTTGGGGCTGCCCTGGGCAAAACTACTACACAGAGCAGGGAGGCATGATATATTAGTCATATATAAAAAAAAAAAAAAAAAAAGGGAAGGAGCCTGTAGTATCACCTCAACAAACAGTTAACCATTGTAGTGCAGAGATGCCCAACTGCAAGGTGTGTGTATACACATACACACACTATTGCTAAAAGTATTGGTCGGCCTGTCTTTACACGCACATGAACTTTAATGGCATCCCAGTCTTAGTCTGTAGGGTTCAATATTGAGTTGGCCCGCCCTTTGCAGCTATAACAGCTTCAACTCTTCTGGGAAGGCTGTCCACAAGGTTTAGGAGTGTGTCTATGGGAAGGTTTGACCATTCTTCCAGAAGCACATTTGTGAGGTCAGGCACTGATGTCGGATGAGAAAGCCTGGATCGCAGTCTCCGCTCTAATTCATCCCAAAGGTGTTCTATCGGGTTGAGGTCAGGACTCTGTGCAGGCCAGTCACGTTCCTCCACCCCAAACTCACTCATCCATGTCTTTATGGACCTTGCTTTGTGCACTGGTGTGCAGTCATGTTGGAAGAGGAAGGGGCCATACCCAAACTGTTCCCACAAAGGTGGGAGCATGAAATTGTCCAAAATGTCTTGGTATGCTGACGCCTTAAGAGTTCCCTTCACTGGACCTAAGGGGCCAAGCTCAAGCTCTGAAAAACAACCCCACACCATAATCCCCCCTCCACCAAACTTTACACTTGGCACAATGCAGTCAGGCAAGTACCGTTCTCCTGGCAACCGCCAAACCCAGACATGTCCATCGGATTGCCAGACAGAAGCGTGATTCATCACTCCAGAGAACACGTCTCCACCGCTCTAGAGTCCAGTGGCAGCCTGCTTTACACCACTGCATCCGATGCTTTGCATTGCACTTGGTGATGTAAGGCTTGGATGCAGCTGCTTGGCCATGGAAACTCATTCCATGAAGCTCTCTATGCACTGTTGTTGTGCTAATCTGAAGGCAACACAAAGTTTTCAGGTCTTTAGCTATTGACTCTGCAGACAGTTGGTGACTTTTGCGCACTGTGCACTTCAGCATGCGCTGACCCCACTCTGTCATTTTACATGGCCTACCACTTCATGGCTGAGTTGTTGTTCCCAGTTGCTTCCACTTTGTTACAATCCCACTAACAGTTGACCGTGGAATATTTAGTAGCCAGGAAATGTCACAGATGGACTTATTGCACAGGTGACAACCTATCACAGTACATATACGTACACACACTTTTTTTTCCTGTTTTCATTTATTCAGCAGATTAGCTTTTTGCCAAAGACAAAACCCTCTAAATAGATTCTGAGATCCTTCTTCCACAACTAGCTGTCCGTTTGCACAATACACTCACTATGAGCTGGTTTGGATGACAGACTATAAAGTGGCCAATGGATGAACCTGAAAACGAACACGAATTTAGGCACTATATATTTCTGTATACAAACAGCCTAAAATATCTACTGTTCCAGCGCAATAAAATCTATTCCCATCAGCCTCATTCCACACAGGTCAATTAACAGGGTGACTCTGGCACCCGTCACCAACATTTTGCTACAATATAGCAGCAGGTGATACATAACATTTAAAGCAGAAATTTTTTGAAAGCTGCAATACTCACCTTTAGGCTAGGTTCACATCTGTGCTGGTGGTGCTGCTGCAAATCCACACAAAAATCCGTGCAGCCGCACCACCCACACAGAAAAATGCGGACCCACGGGCGGGTTCCATTAATTCTAATGGCATGTCACCCACACTGGAAATCGCAACCGTACTGGGAACCGAGGTTCTCATGCGGGTTGCATATTCAGAAGAAGTGCAGGGACTTCATCCCTGCGTGTCACGGGGCATGGGAGTCCATTCAAATGAATGAGCTCTCGTACCCGCGCAAAACCTGGCCCGCAGAAATGCGAATATGTGAGCCAGGTTTTGCGTTTATTAAAAGTCAGCAGCTACAAAAACTGAAGTTGCTGACTTTTAATAAACACACTTACCTGTCCAGGAGTCAAGTGATGTTCTCACCCGCGGTGTCCATTCTCCCCTCCATTGCGCTGACATCTCTACTGTGGACACCAAGCTGTGACAGCTTGCGCCTTCACAGCCTGGTGCCATTGCGCATGCGCGAGTCACGGTGCACTTCCCAATTGATCCGGCAGTCTTCTGGGACCTGTGAAAGTTCCCAGGAGACTGTGGGAAGGAGGAGGGGGCTGAACTTCCAGCTCACTTCGCAGTGGCGAAGTGAGCAGGAAGTGGGAGCGGGTACCTGTCAAAACCAGGTATCCGCTTCCCCACTCCCCCCAAAAGGTGCCAAATATGGCAGTAAAGGGAGCGGGGGGGGGGGGGGGTTTAAGGAGGCAAATAAGCGGAGCTGTCACTATTGAGTGGAACTCCGCTTTAAAGCCATACTAGAAAGGCAGCAGCTCTTACCACCAGTATCCACCATTAGGCACAACCGACTAGAGGGACATCTCCCCCCCCCCCCCCCCCACACAACTACGAGAAGTGACTGATCCAGTCAGTACAGCGCGGTCTTCAGAACAAACATCTCAACCAAGGCCATCATGGACACGCCCCCGTGATGTGTGACATCACAGCAACCCAGGCTCACACATCATTACATGGGTGGTCCGATAGGCCCCCCTGCTGAGTCATATCTAAAGCTTCTCAGTCAGCAGGGGGCATGTGCTTTGCTAATTGCAGAGCATTTATCTGGTCACAACTGCAACAATCTCAGTAATGGTTACCAAGAGAGAGCAAAATAATGAATCTATACATACACTTTAAAATTTCTTGGGTTTTTATTTCTGCCTGTGACTCCACCAGGAAGATTTTTCTTCAATTTCTGTCCCTATGGCACCCACACATAGGACAGGAAAGCAAAGAGAGCAATAAAAACATTATCAAAAGTCTTAACACTTCTCCAGATAACTATAAAAACAGGTTTTGATTTTTGTCTGCGTCCTCATTCTAAAGAATTTAAGCAGAACTATAGGCAAAACATTTTTCCCCCATTTTGGATAGGGCAAGGGAGGGTCATAAGACCTGTCAGAATTTTTCTTCACCATCTGTGTCTCATTGCAGAGATTTCCCTTCACTTCCTGTCCCATAACCAAACAGGATGTGAAAGGAAATCCCTGCAAATGAAGGGAATTCCTTGGGGACCCCCAGATCACCGGAACTAGTGTCCCCGCTAGAAGTTTTATTACTTTTCTGGGGGACAACCCAAAATTTTCTATTTTCTTTTACTTTCACGTTTAATGATAATGGTAGAGAGGGAAAGAAAAAAAAAGAAAGCGTGAATATCCCTAACCGGGGCACAGACAGCAATAATAACTGACAGGGGTTCTGATCCATCTCGTCTATCCATAACTAAAAAAAGAAAAATTAGCATTTAGTAGTACTTTAACCGCTAGCCTACAGGGCACTTATACCCCCTTCCTGCCCAGGCTAATTTCCAGCTTTCAGCGCTGTCACACTTTGAATGACAATTGCGTGGTCATGCAACACCCAACCCATATGAAATTTTTATCTTTTTTTTGTGACAGATAGAGATTTATTTTGGTGGTATTTAATCACTTCGGGGGTTTTTATTTTTTCTTAAACAAACCAAAAACCAGTAAAAATTTTGAAAAACAAAAAACAAATTTTTCTTAGTTTTGTTATAAAATTTTGTAAATAAGTGATTTTTCTCCTTCACTGATGTGCGCTAATGAGGCTGCAGTGATGGGCACTGATAGGCTGCACTGGTAGGTGGCACTGATGGGAATAGACAGGCATCACTGATGGGTACTGAAATGCAGCACTGATACATGGCACTGATAGGCAGCATTGATGTGCACTGGTAGGCACTGATACGTGATATTGATAGGCACTGGCACGAGGCACCGACACAAGACACTGACAGGTGGCCCTCCTGGGGTTACACTGATCATCAGTGCCGTGATGATCAGAGTACATGTCCCCTCCACGGAAAGCCAATTACTGGCTCTCCTCTGTCAGCGTGACAGCTCGAGAGGAGAGAAATGCCGATAACCAGCATTTCCCTGTTTACATGTGATCAGCTGTGATTGGACACAGCTGATCACATGACCGAGCCGACATCTTCGGCTCTTTCTGTGATCGGCGATCCACTGTGTCCGAGGGACACAGCGCACCGCCGATCGCCACGCTGCGCGCTCCCTGAGCAGCGCATGCGCGGTGAGAATGGGAGGACGTCATATGACGTCCTCCCAGAACAAGAGAACCAGCTTGCATCCATCATATTACTATATGGCGGGCGGGAGGTGGTTAAGAAAAAAGGAAGTATTAGTAAATGGCTCAAATAAACGCACAATAAAAACAGAGGCTCCAAATATTTTCCACTCCATCTAAAACAAAACTATTTGGATTTGTTTTCTTTTGATTTAAGTGCTAATATTTAAGACATGTGTGGGTAGCTGGTCACATTCAATTGGACTTGTTCTGTATTGATGAATATATTTTGTAGCTTTTCAAAGCCACATCTTTAGTTCTAAATGTGTCAGGAAAATACTCCAGCATTCATAACTATGCAGGCAGCACCAACACCTTGATCCAATCACCATGGAAAGGCAGATATTATTGTCCAAGAACAGGACGAAAGATGTTCAAGTTGTAGATCCACCCTCTTCTAGTTACATAATGACATTTTTTGGTGTCAGGAAGGCTTCATAAATGTTAATCCTTCAATTTACATGACTAAAAGGTGTGAATTGTTGTCATCATGCCAGGGTACAGTTTTAAATGGCATTATATGTGGAATACAGGTGGCCTTGAAAGCTGTCCTCTATGCAAAATGTGCACCTCATTGTACTTAAAGTATTACTAAACCCAAAATCAGTCTGTATATGCAGTAAAGCATGCTTGTTATACTCACTGTGGAATCTAAGGGGTTAATCCTCTGCACTGTGTAAAAATGCTGTTTGATCCTGGCTTCTCTGATCCTCTCCTAGTGCCCCCCCCCCCCTTATCTTCTGATAAAACAGTGTGGTGTCACTCTAGCAATACACACTAAACTGAGCATGTGCAGAGTTTTTTTTTCTCTTGGGAGAGTGCATGTAAGCAGCACTGCCCAGACAGAGGTCAGGGGTTCTGCATCCTCCTAGAGCAGAAAGAAAAAGCCTACAAGCTTTAACCAGTGCTTTGCTGGACACTGATAGAAGTCACAATACTGTTCTAACTGCTGATGAGAAAAAGGTATTTAGCAGTTTATATTTACTAAAATAATTGCATTTCCATGTTCTTGTAGGAGACCAGATAGAGCGGATGCAGGGTCCTGGGTTTAGGGACACTTTAAACAAATGTCCCTTCCCTACTGTATGAAAACAGCTGAGCCTTGACCTATAGAATTAGCCCTCCTAATCATTTGTTGAAAGGTTGATTTTTCTTCCCATGTACGGGTTTGCATTCCTCACTGCACTGAATAATACCAAGTTACTTTGCCTGTGTTTGGGTGTATTCGCCTTAGTTGTATCAGATCACCATGGCTTAGGATACCATGTAGTCTCCCTTCAACAACCTCCTCTTTAAAGCCCAGTACACAAGGGCCAAAAATTGGCCGGTTCAGCAGGAATCGTCCCCCAGTCAAAATACAATGTCTTAGCAGGAGAGACCCTGCAATGTTGATGTGGGGATCTGTCAAGTTTTTTTTTTCTTCTATTCAACCCACTGGTTGGAGAAAAAAAAAAAAAAAGAGAAGTGTGTACCTAGCTTAACATAGGATCAGAAAACACACCTAGGTTCCTGGACTCCGTATTGAGAAGTAGACTGAAAAATTGACCTTCCGAAGGCCACAAATTACAAGACGTGGATTGGACTGGAGCACAAGGCTGTATAAAGGTTATCAACCAAACTACCTTTTCTGCCACAGTTGATCTACCATCCCTCCTCAATGTTAGAGGCATGCCAGCATTGCCTCTTAGATTGTAAGCTCCAAGGAGCAGGGCTCTCCTAACCCTCTTGTATTGAACTGTATTGTTGCTGTATTGTCTCCCATTATATTGTAAAGCACTGAGCAAACTGTTGGCGCATATAAATCCTGTATAATAATAATAAATGTTCAACAATATCCACATCTGGAGACTTGTCCAAAGAATGATCCCATGAGGTAGGATGAACCATCTGTTCTGAGACTCTATAATGTAGATGAGAAGATGAAGTTTCTCCATGGACATGACCTTCCAGAAGGATCATCAACCCCAGACACTGGATCACCAGATCAGGAACTACCTGTTCCTCATGGGTAGACAGTTGTATCTGCTTAGAAACATGATCTATAACTGAATTCTAAGGCACGCTGAGAAGAGACTGGAATAAGTGGGGCACTTTGGGCAAAGATGACCCTTCAACCCATGATTCTCCTACAACGGTACAGAAATAGGCAACCCTCTGACCCAGGTACAAGGACAGGAGCTTGGGGAAGCTGTAGATTCCCCTACTACAGAACCAAATTGGTTTGTAAAACCTGCAAACGATGAAAAGCTACCTCGCATTGTTACTGGCAATACAAGATCCAGATGAATCTTGAAGGACATTTAGACTTTGGAGGAGACATTGTTCATCAGACCCCACATTAACTGACCTCCACGGAAGGTCATGTACGTATCCCACAATGGTGAAAAAAGGTACTGGGACACACACTGGGGCCAGCACCATGGAGGGAAAGAGTCGATATTGGAGATTAAAACCCCAAAGGGTACTGTGAACAATCTGAAGTAGGCACACCTAGGCCTTCCAAACCTGGTTCTCCGACCACCTGTAAGACTGGGGGTAAAGCCTGCCAAACCCTCAGAGAAGCCTTTTTCATTTCATCACCATTGTAGGATACTTACACGACCTTCTGCAGAGATCAGTTAATGTGACCACAGGATTCCTCTAGAAGATGACAAGGATAGTAGACCTGGTGGACTCTATGCCAAATTACTAGACTTGCATGCCCCGAAGGAGACAAACATCTACTCTGTGAGGAAGCACCTAGAGATGGTTAAGATACAGCATCTAAGACCAAACTGGTCCAGGAGGTAGGACAAGGATTATTTGATAGGATGTCCTAAAAGAACACAGGCAAATCTGCTAATCAATGCAGTGGTACAGGAAAGGGAGCTGAAGATTGTTTGTAACCTGGAGAGGGCACTCTTTGTACCTAAAACCCTGAAGGACAAACTATCCAAAAGCTTGGAAGGATTAAAAAAAACCTTTTCACAACTTGAAAAAGTAGAAGCACACCTTCATGCTAACGAAGGCTTCATCCCCAGTCTTGCAGGTTGTCGGAGAACCAGGTTTGGAAGGCCTAGGTGAGCCTACTTCAGGAGTAAGTGAAAAAAAAAAAAAAAAAAAAAAAAAAAAAAGGAAAGGAGGACTTAGCCAACCTTTCCCTAGATTTCTTTCAGCAAAACAGGTGGCCTCTGGAGATATCCCTAATAAGATCAGATGTCATCCCTTAAGACAGTGGTTCTCAACCTTCCTAATGCCGTGACCCTTTAATACAGTTCCTCATGTTGTGGTGACCCCCAACCATAAAATTATTTACCCAGTAATTATAATTCATGAGTGTCGTTTTACCTCCAATACTGCTACTTTCAACACAGTAGCTGCTTTTAACAGAGTAGCTGCTTTCAACACAGCAGCTGCTTTCTACACAGTAGCTGCTCTTTACACATCGGAAATATGTATTTTCTGATGGTCTTAGGGGACCCCTGTGAAAGGGTCATTCGACCCCCAAAGGGGTCACGACCCACAGGTTGAGAACCACTGCCTTAAGACAACCAGCATTGGAAGGCCTAGGTGTGCCTCTTTCAGGAGTAAATTAAAAAATAAAGGGGACGTAGCCAATCTTTCCCTAGAGTTCTTGCAGTGAAAACAGGTGGCCTCTGGAGATATCCCTACTGATAAAAGTAGAGGATAGCTCTGAAGAGATGTCATCCCTCATGAACAATTAGGTCAGGCGCCCCTTAAGCACAGTGTAAGCATCCCAGCACTCAAGCCAGAGTGATCTGTGCATCTGACACATGCAGGAGACAAACCAAGATGCTCCAAGCAGGCCATCACTTCTGAAGCGTAAAGCCACAGCCATCTGCTCTGCACTCTTAATCGGGAATCCACTGACATGGTGGAGAGATTCCTTTTTAGGGATTTATCCCATTCTTCCATAGTTTGACAGATTAAAATCACAGCCAAATTAGGGTGACAGGTGGAGCCTGCCAGGGAGAACTGCATTTTAAGGAGGGTTCTAACTGTTGGTCTTTAGAGGAATGTGAGGATGTCCTCTCCTGACCTAATGGTTTGAAGGTGGATCACTGGCAGATTCTGTGAGTCTGTGTAGAACCCTACTTAGCAAAGTCTTCCCAAAAAGGAACAAATCCAGTAGATGCTGGGTGAATGTAATGAGAAAGTCTTTGCACCTGTAGAAGTTTTGAAAGGCTCAAGTCTACAGCTAACAGGCTGATCCTCTAAATGCAGGGATGTGTTGTTTACATAACAGCACAACAGTCTAATTTAAATCTGGGTCAATAGCAGAGGTCTGTATCTTCAGAGAGAGACTGAGGTAACCCAAAATCAGAGTTGGTCACTTTGGGGAGATTCCCTCTTTGTTTCCTGTCCTATAGACAAAACAGGAATTTAAAGAAAAAAATTTCCAAAGTTAGGGAAATCGTAAATAGACAAAATATGGGGAAATGCATAAAATATGCCTAGGGCAAGATTCTGAACATATTCCTGCACTTGAGGGGTCAGAGGTGGGAAGTACAGCGGCCCATAGAAGTATGTTTTCTGAATGAGGAAGTTTCATGCAAGGCATATTTGTATGTCTGCAAACATCTGTGTGCATGAGGCCGATAACTAAAAGAAAATAATTATTTTGTGTGTGCCCTTGCAGTGACTGGCATTGATCCAATGCAGGAAAAAGCCAGTAACGGTTCCTAATGTAAACTAGCCCTAAAACATTGCTGTTGGGTAAACGGACCCTTTACTGTATGTTAGTATATGGGATGTCAAATGCAGGTTTACAGTGGGTGAGTGTTTCTCCTACACTAGGCTGGTAGGTGAATAATTTGCTGCGAAACTAATTCTAGTGTATGTATGTTTGTATAAGTGGGTGTGTGTATGTACAGTATGAGTATAGTTGTGCGTATGTATGAATGTATTGGGATCATTTACAGAGAATCTGTAATTCTGGAAGAGAAACAAGCTGCATGTAC